TACGAAGAGTGCCGAGATTAAACTATTTATGATGTGTTCTGACACTGCCTGTATTTAATGCTTCTGTTAGTCTGCTCCCAGATCTTTGAGTAAAGAATAGCTTCCAGTTTAGAGCAAAACAGGGAGTCTTATGTCTGGAGTGAGACACACTTTGTGAAATTGCCTGTGTTGGTGGTGTTGCTGTTGTTGTCATATTTCTTAGCTGGCCTTCACTTCAGTTCTCTTCTTTGAGTGCTGATACAGGCTGAACCTCTCGCAAAGTAAATGCGTTTTGCTGGCTGGAAGCTACTGAATCTTTTGAAAGAGTATCAGTCTCCCTGTTCATGTTACAGTGAGTACAGACAAGCACGCTTACGCCATCTGTTTGGGAGTCTTTTTGGCATCACTGTTGACTCAAAGCTGTGCTTGGTTGCTAAATTTTGTCTGAAAAGTCACATGACGCTTGTACAACCTGCCAGTTGAATATTTAAGAATAGAATGCACACTTCCTGAAATCACATTAGACAGCTTGGAAATATGTATACTCCTCTAAGAAAAACAATGTTCTTTTGAGTTTAATCTCCTTTCTGGTTCCTACCTGTGTCTGTACAAGTGAAATGCACATTCAGAGCAATTACTCTTGTTGTTTTTGTATTCCCATTCATATTGTGTCTTTTAAAAGATTTTCAAGAACTCTTACTCCCTGCTAGGCAATTTGGAAATGAGAATGGTTTCAAGAGGTAGTTTTGCTAACATTGTTTTTCTGCAGTAACAGTAAAGAGAAATGAAATACTAAATGCAGTATATACTGACTCATTTTATACCTTCTTCCCAGCTAAATGTGTTTAGGGAGAATTATAAAACTAACAGTAGTAAGAAAGTGATCACCTCAAAGTCATACTTCAGATTAGGGGAAAAAAACCTGAAAAGGTAGAATACATGATTGAAAAAGATGTTGTACTTAAAAGGCAAGAATAACACTAGTTTTCAAGCATAGCTACTGAAGCACATACAAGCATTTCAGAGTTGGTTGATCTTGAAAAAGTGCTATTTTTTCTTGTGTTGAGTGTTTAAATATTGAACTTGTTGGTACCTAATGTTATAAAATTCAAAAGTACGTATAAGGTTTAGAAATAAAATAGTAAGAAAACCAAACATGCCCTAGACAGTCATGGAAGAGGAATGTTGTTTTTTTGGTTTTAATTGCAGGAATATTTGGTATTAACTGACCTGAGAGGACAGTAAACTAGTGTAAAGTTTTCCTTGGCATTTTATAGTTTATAGAAAGACTTAAATTCTTTTCTTCCACTGCTTGACAAATACAGATGCCACCAGGCCGAAGGATACACAGATAGCTGTGATGCGATCTTGGACATCTGCATTCAGAGGCATTTGAACTCTTTGCAGTTGTGTTCTATCATTTTTTTATGTACCTTAGGAACCAGAGAGATGTATAATGGCATAACAAGGAGTGAAGTTGTATATGCTGCTGTTTATCTGTGGCGTAGATATTAGGCTTAGATATCAACCCAAACCCTTCTATGATTCTATGATCCTAAACCTCCATCAAAATGTACACTGTGTTTGCAGCTAAAAGTGACAGGTCTGATCCTGAAGTGTAATTTTCTAGAAACTTTGTGAGGTGTGGTTGTACCTTGTAATTGTCTATTTTTTGAAGCTCAGCTTCATCACTATTGTGAACTTTGAGCATGCCACAAGATTGTAATTATTATTCAATTTTTTGTCTTAATGTTTAATTTAGGTAGGTGTTCTAGAAGTAGCTGTTCTGAGCTGGGACTGTGAAGATGTGCTGGCATCAGACTTGATCTGGAAGCAAAGTCTCAGTGTGTCCAAACTGATACATTACAGATGCTCTGCAGCAGTCAAAACTATCTAATTCTTTGGATGCCAATATGTTTGATGCCAGTTTCATCTCATTGCCGTAGCTCATGTA